GCAGCCCTGGGCTCCCGACCTCACCTTCTCGCTGTCCCTCTGTGACACAGACCCCGCTGGAGGCTGCGTGCTGGTGCTGCTGCTGCTGCTGTTCACGGGGCAGACCGTGTCAGGGGCAGTTCCTGTCCTCAGACCCCTCAGGGGGCCCAGGGATACAAGAGGCTGGGCCATGGCCCAGTACAGGCCTCTGCTGCCAGAAGAGAGGCAGGCCTTCAACACGGCCAAAGATGTGTTGGTGAGTCTGCCCTGCCGCTCCTTCTGTGAGCTGCACTCCAGCCCCGCTCTCTGCTATCAGGTCTAATGGACTAGAAGGGGACCTCAAACTTCACAAGAAAGGCTTAACCTCCACCCTCCATGCGGTAGGTTCACCTGCACTGTGACTCGTGCACCTTCTCCTGCTCTCACTGAGGTGGGCCAACTATGTGTTAGGGCAGGGAGGTGGCTCCGCCATCCGCTAGAGTGGAACCCATCACCTTGCTACACGAACCATCCTGCAATTCCACTGCGCTGGCCCCACCCCACCCTCCTGGGTAGCTAACCTCTGCCCTTGCTGTGCAGGGAAAGCAGCTCCTGCGGAAGGGCACCAAGTGCAACTCCGACCTCTTCAGGGCCTGGGACCTGAGGCAGCTTCAGGTGAGTGAAGATCCGGCCCTGCCAGGGCTCAGTGGGCCCCAGACATCAGCCTCCTATTTGGCCCACTGGCCTCCCGTGTCTCTGTCTGTCCCTCCACACAGGCTTCTATCAGTCCTCCCAGTCCTGGCCGATTATGTGGTTTTCATTTGCCCTCTAATCTGTCCCCTTCTCCCCTCATCTCCTGTCCTGAGGATCCCTCACCTGTGCCCATGTCCTCGCCAGGTGTGGGAGCGTCACGTGGCCCTGCAGGCTGAGCTCACCGTGACACTGGAGGTCCTGAGCTCCGTGACAGACCCAGCCCTGTGGGAAGTCCTGAAGCAGCCGATTCACGCACTGCGTCTCATCCACGCCCAGTGGCAGGCCTGTGTGAGTGCTCGGGACCCTCTGCACCTCACCTCCTGGGCTCTGAACCCCGCCCCTCCCTGTGTGCCAGGCACAGCTCACAGTGCCCTCTCTGCACCCAGGTCCCTTCCTGGCCCAAGGCAGGCGGCAGGACCTATAGCCACCGCCTGCACCGATGGCTGCAGAGGCTCAAACGGGTCACCCAGGTGAGGGAGCAGGAGGGTCGACGTCTGGGACATTGGGGTCCAGACCACGGGCAGCCCCTGAGCCCTCTCTCTGCCGCCCCACAGGAGTCCCCTGGCTGCCTCCAGACTTCGGTCATCTCCAACCTCTTCCGCCTGCTCACCCGGGACCTGAGATGAGTGGCCAGGCCAGACCTGTGTGCCTGAGCCCTCGGCCTCTCCTGCGCCCTGCCACACAAACCTCCATTTCATTTCTGCCTCCCCCACTTACCTGAACTTATTTCCACCCAGTCACTATGGATGGAATCTGTGTGTTGAAGTCTCAAATTCACATCGAATTAAATGAAGGCCTTCTGCAAATAAACAATGAGGAAGAGACTCTTGTGTGCCCCATGTTTCCCGGCATGGATTCCTTTTAAGCAACCCTATGAAGCCTTAGGGCAGATGCAGCCTGTCACATGTCCAGTGTCCATGGCCCTGCAGGTCTGGCTGGTGGGCGGGTCTGCAGTGCAGGCTCCTCTGCTCCCAGTTGTGCCCTGAATCTCTTAGGGCACCTGGGCTATTCCCTGGAAGCTCTGGAAAGCTGCTGCTTTCAAGTGGGTCTGGGGTCGGCTGCATGAGCTGCTCTTGCTGCTCAGGCGGTCTCCGTGTCCACAGTGTTGCAACTACTCTGTCTCTCACAAATCTCCGGTCTTTGCCCCAGGCCCATCTCTCAGAGCCTGAAGCAGGGAGTCCCCTTCAAAGCTTGGCACCCAGGCACTGCTCAGACCCCGAGTCTTCTGCCTCAGCCACAGTTCACTCTCTGCCCTTCGGGTCCAGGGGCACGAATTTGGCTCTTTCCTGCCCAGGACACTATCGCTACTAAAGTCCATCGATCCTAATAAGGGTGCAAGTCCCTCGAGCACGATGATGAAGGACACACACTGCTCCCAGGGCTGGGTGGGGTCGCATCCTCGGGGTGAGGGTTCAGCCCAGCCCAAGGACTGACCGAGTGACCCCGTCTGGTTGTCCACCTGCCTGTACTTCCTTGTTCATCTATGCCTTTCCTCTTGGCCCCTCTGGCCCACATTCCTTCCACCTCAACTGAACTCCCACAGGACCACGGGGATTCTGTCTTGGGGTGACCCAGACCTCATCCTTGAGTGATCTGAGCTTGTCAGCTTCACCCCGAGACCCAGTCACTGGCTGCTCCCTTCCTAGATATATTTTCACTACCCTGGGCAGCACACTGACTGAAGATGTCCCTGTCCATCCCTCTCCTGCTGGCCAAATTCTCCCTCCCGGGGACTGAAGCCCCTCCTCACCTGCTGACCAGGGCCGGCTGTGCCTGACACGGTGTGGCCTCCTCTCCCCACTTGTTGGTCCCCTGGCAGAGGAACACAGCTCCTCGGTGAGAATCAAAAGCTCGGGGTCATTGGCATTCTTGCCTTGGGCAGGGTGCACAGGGTCTTCCTCTGGGCACCAGGGCCTCTCCGTGAGCACAGCCGGACGCTGGGGAAGGAAGAACCAGTGTGTCAGGGGGTGTTTCCACCCCACAGCCCTCTGCTGCTGGGTGCCCTTCAACTCCGGAAGTGCTGGGTCTCGTTTTGGGGTGGTCATTTGGCAGCACCTGGCCCTGCACTTCTCCCTGGTGACCCAGCAGCTGGCTGTGCTCTGCTGTGCGCTTTGTGTAGCTCCTTGACCTTTTCCCTCACCCTCTGGCTACACTTGGCTGCCCCGAGTCTGGAAACTTCCCGATCCTGCCTCCTATACAGCCCTCTACTTGAACAGGCCTGTTGGGTCATGAACTCCATGTGCCAGGGCTGCTACGCCATAACCTGGCCTGCTGCTGGGGGTTCTACTGCCCTGCTCCCACCCAACACCCTTGCTGTTCAGCTTTCATGGGGATTTCTTTGTGTGCAGTAGCCGACCTCTGAACCCGCACTGCCGGACTAGCCTGGGCCTTTCCTCACTGATGGGAGTTACGAGATGCAATCATTTAATTGGAGAGGGGGCCCTCCATTCTCCAGAACTCCAGATCCCTGATCACTTCCTGTAGAGAACAGGGAAGTTACAAGGCCCCTGCAGTGGGTCCTGGTTTCCGGTGAGCTCCCACTGCACAAGTGAACGAATGAATGAAGATGGGAAACAAGACTTAGAGAAGCAGCTGAGCTTTGGGCCTGATCGAGGCCACTCCGGACTGCTAAGCTCTAGGCACCCCGAGCTTGGCACCACTCTTTATTGGCTTCATATGGAGCAACAGCTGCCTCAGAGGTCGGCAATAATCTTGGGATGAGGAGGACCTTATGCTGATGTAGATCCTAGGTGGATAAGGAACTTAGGTCGATTAGGAATTCCTACTGGGTCTTCAGGAGCCAAGATTTCAACTGATGAAATCCTGCCCGGGAGTGTCACAGCATGACAGGACCTTTGAGGGTTTAGCTGTGACTAGAAGCAAAAATGGGGTTACTCTGAGACCAGTGAGGACCGCCCAGCCACGTGGGGAGCTCCCTGCTCCCCCCCCTCCGCTCCAGTGCCCTGGGCCTTCATTGGAGCAGACGGGTAAGGACGGCTCATCTATGCCCCAGGCCCCTCTACAGCATCCCACCCCTGCACTCCCACTCCGGCTTCTTGGGCCTCCTGGTTGTGCCAGTAACTGAATCCAAACTGCAGAGGCACAGGTGGTCATAAAGACCATTTTACTGAGCCCCAGAAGATAGAACAGAAGTGAACAACTTCAATAAAGGTACATTAGACCTCTGTAGTTGGTAAGTTGGAGGGATCACCACCTTCTATCAGAACTTGGACTCTCTTGAAGGGAAGGGAAGGGAAGGGAAGGGAAGCTGGAATCTACAGTAGAACTTGTTTGAACCCTCCAGGAGCTCAGGGAGCTCAATTTGGGTCTTGCAGCCAAAATTCAGCCTGACTCTCAGGGCTCTGCCATTGGCTAGCTGACACTAATTGACTTAGCTCTGCACACTGCTGCCCACCTTGTCTACTGTGATAGCAGACAGACCCTGAAAGAGGCTCTTCATATTTTTTCTTTTCCTCAGTTTTAATTTTTGTAAATTATATTTTTTAGCCTGGGATTTAATTCAGTGGTTCCACTGCCTACTTCACAAGCACCAGATCCGAAGTTTGATCTCCACTACAAAAAAAAAAAAAAAAAAAAAAAAAAAAGTGCAAACTAAAATTTTATTTTCCCATTTTTCAAATTCTTCCTTTTTCTTTCTTTCTTCCTTTCCCACTCAGGCTCTATGCTCCCCAACATTATTCTTCATCTTCCCTGTTGTTACTGTCCCTGCCCTAATTAGGATTTTTCTTTTCTTCCTTTTCCTTCCCTCGATTGTCATTAGTTTCAAAGGAAAGCGAGTACAATTTATAGCTTCCCTATTACGGTTACATTGTTCTGTTCTTGTTTTTGTTCTTTCCCTCTGTCTTTCCCGGTTGTCCTCACCAGTTTCCTAGAGTTTGCGTGATCATTCTATGTCCTGTCGCTTCCCTTGAAATCTTCCCCTATGCTTTTACCTATGTATTCCTCTCCTCCCAACTCCTTCTAAGTCCCCATATCTTGAAGGGTAAAGTTGCTAGAATGAAGCGTTCTGTCACTATAAACATTTTGGGCTGGTCCTCAACCTTCACTTAACTCACATGGTTAAAGGTGATTAACAAATGGTTAATTTCTAAGCAGTGCTTGATGCTATTGTGTGTTGCTGACTGTTATCAATTGGGCTAAAGGGTTCTGATTCATTTAATGAGTTGCCCTTTCCCATACTGTGAAAATGAGAGTGTCTCTCAGTCATTAGAGACTCAAAACCTAAAGACCGGCTATTATCTGGAAGATCAAAGTACTAACCCACGAATTAAACCAAGGACAGCACAACAACAAAAATAAAGATGAGAAAACACTTCAGCAAGGCACAAATACAGACTTCCAGTTCTCCAATGGCAAATTCTAGAGGAAAGGAGGTGGAGAAGTCTGACAACCACCCCCTAGACACCTTGAAATCGCAGCACAGAAAGTAACAAAACAGATTAATCGGGCTCTAGAAAAATTCAAAACAGAAATAATTTCCCACATAACTGCAGAGATGGTGAGCACAATGAAAGATATGATTAGATACTCTAGAACAGAAATAGACAAAAAAAAAAAAAAAAAAAAAAAAAAAAAAAAAAAAAAAAAGATGCTCAGGACCATGACTGACATTGTGAATGCCCAACATCGAAAAGACATGGAATCCATGGAATCCATGGAACAGATTCAAACAGATATCCAGGCATTTCAAAACTCTACTGAAAGCATTTGCAGCAGGATGAATAAATGTGAAGATAGGGATTGCAGTCACTGACCATGAAAAGAGAGCTCTTAAAAACAGTAAGGGATCATGAGAAATCAATCCAACAACTCGTGGATGATGCAAAGAAGAATAACATAAAACCGATAAGAATCCATGAAGTAGCAGGAGAAAGCACAAATGACTTAAAAAGACTTCACTGAATTAATGACAGAGAACTTCCCAAACGCAGGGGAAATTTTTGATATACAGATAAATGAGGTATACAGGACTCACTTAGCCATGATCAAACAAAACATCTACACCTAGAAATATATATAATGGTCAAGGTCCTGGAAACCCAAAAGAACAACAAAATACTGTAAGCAGTTCGAGAAAAGAAACACATCACATGCAAAGGAAAACCCATCAGAATCATAGCAGACTTTTCAAACAAACCCTCAGTGCAAGGAGAGCCTGGACTGAGGTATTTCAAGCCCTAAGAAAAAACAACCTGCAACCTACACTGATGTATCCTGCACAACTCTCTTTTAAAATGGATGGGGAAATAAAGATACTTCCATGGCAAAGAGCACCTGAGAAACTTTGTGAATACCAAACCACCACTACAAACAACTCTGAACAATATCCTAAAAATAGATGATGAAGGTCACAACACCATGAAGCCCAACAGGGCAAATCAAGTACGCAATGCAAGAAACTGAAGGGAGGGGGGACAAATTTACAAAGAGCCAATAACAGGACAATGACATGACAATGGTAAGTCAATACATATCAGTTATCAATGTCAATGGCCTCAATTCAGAAATCAAAAGAAACAGACTGACAAAATGTATTAAGAAATGTATGCAATATGTAGTATACGAGAAACACCCCGAGTTCCAAAAGAAACAAGAACTGAAAGGGAAAGGATGGAAAATGGTTCTCCATGTG